TCTCTTTATTTACCAAGGAGGAACTGACACACAGAAGTAAACTTATGCAGGAGGCTCAGCTAGTCTCACGTGTAAATATTTGGGGTTACCCTCAGACATCATCTCCCCGGAAGAGTCTGCTACACTTTAGCATGAACACGCAGCTGCTTTCAGTATATTGCTCCAAACAGAGCAGAATGAGCTACAGAGAGACACTATGAAAGAGCTCTGATTGTGTGGGAGCCAGAAGGCTGCTGAGGGATAGACTTGCTTTCACTGAGAGCTAGGGAAGGAGGTTCTGCTCTGAGGACAGTTCCTGGGTGAGGAGTGGTTACTTCTGCAGAACTGACATGTCCCCTCCTGGGATGCTTAAAAGGTCAAGAAGTAAACAACCTCCACAGGGCCCCTCTCCACAACGTTCTATAAGTAATAGCAATTCTGGGGAAGAGGGGTCTCTGATCAGGGGAGCTGCCAGGCAACTCCAGGGGTACAGCTTTCATGACCTCTGACCCACATTGGATGGCTTTGCAGCGATGTGGCCTCTGAAACACTCTGCTTCTGAAAGTAGCCCTTCGCCTATTGCTGCAAACCACAGGAAAATGTGATGGAATCCAGCTACTATCACAAAAGGTACTATTTCAAAAATTCAAGGACTTTTCTGAAGGTCAAGCCAAGGCTTAAGAAGTCTTGGTGATATTTAGCTGTTGTATATATATTAGCTGGTTCCTACAATGCCTTTCTTTTCTTTTTGTAAAAAATAAATTATTTATATTATTTGTATGAGCATTTTGTTTGCATGTTTATGTATGTGCATCACAAATGTGCCTGTTACCCAAGGAGGTCAGAAGAGGGTGCCAGATGCTCTGGAACTGGAGTTACAGACAGTAGTTAGGTACTAGGCAAGTGTTGGGACGTGAACCCAAGGTCCTCACATACAGCAACCAGTCCTCTTAAGCTCTGAGCCATTTCTCCAGGCCCCAGTGGTTTTCTTGTAATGCTATATGTGCTTCCAAGAACTGCCAACAGTGTATTTCTCTAAAATGCCTATCAAGCACCCGAGGCCAAACTGAAACAACACCTGTCCCTAGGTCAGGCAGATAGCTTTATATCTTGTACAATTTAGGGTGAGACCTTCCTTTCTCATACAACCTTACAAATAGACCCCTAACTTCTTACCTAACCACTTCTAGGAATGTAGACTGAGCACATAGATCCCCTCTGTGATATGCTAACCGGTCAATAGCACTCAGTTGACCTCCTCTTTCAGCACTGGCATTTGGGTTGTAAAAGAAAGCCTGACAGAAATAAATAAATAAATAAATAAATAAATAAATAAATAAATAAATAAATAAATAAA